TTTTTTTTTTTTTTTTTTGAGATGGAAGCTTGCTCTGTCACCCAGGCTAGAGTGCAGTGGCATGATCTCGGCTTACTGAAATCTCCACCTCCCGGGTTCAAGCAATTCTCCTGCCTCAGCCTCCCGAGTAGCTGGGATTACAGGGGCCTGACACTGCACTCGGCTAATTTTTGTATTTTTAGTAGAGACGGGGTTTCACCATCTTGGCCAGGCTGGTCTCAAACTCCTGACCTTATAATCCACTGGCCTCGGCCTCCCAAAGTGCTGGGATTACAGGCGTGAGACACCACGCCCGGCCATAATTTTTGTATTTTTAGTAGAGACAGGGTTTCGCCATGTTGGCCAGGCTGGTCTCAAACTCCTGACCTCACGCCATGGCCTCCCAAAGTCCTGGGATTACAGGTGTGAGCTACCGCGCTCAGCCTTCTATATTCTTCTAAGACTTTCTAGGACAAGTGTTCTGACTCACTGGCATGAATATCTGGTTCCTTTGGCTAATGTATACCTCAAATGGAAATGAGTGTTATTTCCCTCTTGTTGCCCCTAACTATTAAGATCACTAACCAACCTCTAAATGACTTCCTGTGACATAAGATCTTTGAACCCAAACATAGAATACAAAGAAAGTGATTTAAAACAAAAGCTCTTAGTGAAGTTTTCCAGAGCCCCTTTAATGAAGTAATCTTCTCTGCCCTCTACTGGTGATGAAAATAACATCTACTTGGAAATAAATGGAGGCATTTTCATAAAGCAGCAGTTAGTACCCTATGGGGACCTGGCTTGCTTTGCCAGGGGTTTCCCAAGACCCTCTCAGGGTCTGCAAGGTCAAAACTATTTCATAATAATACTAGGTCATGATGTGCCTTTTACTTTACATTCTCAAGCGTGTACTGAGTATGAAAGGCTTATTGATATGAGTTCTAATTTCATACTGCAACAAATCTTTAAGATATTACCTCTTGGCCAGGCGAGGTGGCTCACACCTGTAATCCCAGCACTTTGGGAGGCCGAGGCAGGCAGATCACTTGAAGTCAGGAGTTTGAGACCAGCCTGACCAACGTGGAGAAACCCCATCTCTACTAAAAATACAAAATTAGCTGGGCATGGTGGCGCATGTCTGTAATCCCTGCTACTTGGGAGGCCGAGGCAGGAGAATCGCTTGAACCCAGGAGGTGGAGGTGGCAGTGGGCCGAGATTGCGCCATTGCATTCCATCCTGGGCAACAACAGAGAAACTCCGTTACACACACAAAAAAGATATTGCTTCTTGTTGAGTTTCTCTTCACTTTTTTCCCCACACAATTCATGCAGAGATTATCTTGTTGAGTTTTAGAACTGTATAAAAGAAGGCTGGACATGGTGGCTCACACCTGTAATCCCAGCACTTTGGGAGGCCAAGGCAGGAGGATTACAAAGTCAGGAGTTCGAGACCAGCCTAGCCAATATGGTGAAACCTGTCT